CAGATCAAAAATCAAACTAGATTTAAGGCCAAAATTCGAGCTGGATTTTCAAAACTCGAGCTAGATTTCAGATCGAAAATCGAGCTGGATTTCCAGTCAAAAATCCAGCTAGATTTCCAGTCAAATACAGCTCGATTTCTAGTCAAATCGAGTTCGATTTCCAGTCATATCCGGCTCGATTTTTCAACTGGAAATCCAGTGATTTTTTTTAAACAGGGTTACGACCCGAAGATTTGGTCCGACCATGGAAACCCAAAGACGCAGAGTTGTCTGCTGCGTGCGCGTACGTTATAGTGTGACAGTTAGAATTGTGAAAAGCTGTGTAAGTGCGAGGTACTCCTGGAGACTACCTACGTCGAGCACAAGTTCTTTGGGTCGCGAGTGTGAGCCCTAAGTCCTCGGTCGAGGGGCGCGTTCGAGGTCGTGCTTGCGTGTGGGTGTGTGTGCGAACGGTCCCCCTTATCACAGCTGCAGAGGAGACAAGGGTGGAACTCAACGAGCCACAACGACTGTCTATTTTCAGGGACCATCCGAGGAAGCGAGGACCTGGAGCCAACAGCAACTACCCGAGCAAGCCACCAACCTACCGCCCTGTGGACGACCAATCTCGACGGTGAGCAGCACGGCAGGGCCGTCTTGTAATTTGTATATTGTCGGTGTTTGGTACGATCATCACGAGCTACGTTGTCGTCGGCCGTCGACGGTCCGGCCTCACTCTCCGGGGCTCCTGTATCTTGAGATACCGTTGGAATAAACCGTTTATTAATTGTTTAAATAGAACATAGCGAGAGTCGTTATTTATGAATGAATGTGCGTGCGATTATCTCCCTTCCCGATTGCATGCCTTTTCTAGATAGACCCTGGACGTACAAGGAACGAGCCTGCAGCCAAAAGGACAGACGTAACCGACGAGGTGCGTCAGGGTAAGCGAATAAGTTTCTAGCGTGCCATCGGCGTCGAAACCGTCGCAAACTGTGTGCAGAGTTGTTCATCCCTTTATGCCAATCAAATGCGCTCATGCTTTTATTTCAGCATGTTATTCGAGTCTTATCAGTGGCTCGGGAAGACCGCTCTTACATCGCGCGAGTCGCTGCGATTGCATTCCTTCTTTGTCGATAGTTCTTAGCCATCTTTAGCGTGGAGCCATCAACTCGTTCTACTTTTCAACTAATTGATCCGATTTTTAATTTTCAATTTCTGAAATTTAACGATTTTTTATAAAATCTTAATATCCCAATAGGACCCACCATGAATCATTACCAAATTATGGGGAAAAATAGTTTTTCGGTAGCAGAATCGAGTGGTATAACTATTTTCGGGGTGCGTGTTTTGTAAAAAAGCTATGTACGATAAACATGGAATTTGCTCGCATTCATTGTTGAGTGAATTTTAATCGAATTTTTAGTTGTACATGAATAGTTTTACTTTAAATGGCACAATTTATAACGCCCATTTTAGTTTTCGATATTTTTGAAAAGATGACGCTATGTGCTTCTATTAAATGCCATAAAATCACTATTTTAAACAAAATTAGGAACAAATATTGTCTTAAATATATGTACTTATTCAACAACCAAATTTGATGGGTTTTATGAGTCCTTTTATGAGCAGACGCAAGTATGAGTAACCCGAGTACTGAATTGTGGCTGGATATTGGGAGAGTCACATTAAGATGAGTGGAAATGCACTCAGTGATAATGTCGAAACTAGCTCGACTAGGCTCGAGCGCGATTCACGCTCGGTCTCGATACGAGGCTGAATCGTGCTCAACGCTGGTGACGATACGAGCTCAGCAGAACTCGTGAGTGATTCGTTTTCAAAATTCGAGCGTGAAAGATGTTCAAAAGTTTTTCCGTGTAGGCAGCCATTCATCGGCAAGGTATCATTCGTACACATGAAACTTGTACACGGGCATTTCTGTACACAATTAAAATGTGTCCAATATATTTGTACACATAATCGAACTTTTTTTTTAAAATCAAAAAATTAAAAAAAAATAATCGTAATCGCAATGTGAATTAAAAAAAAATTTCGATTATGTGTACAAATATTGGACACATTTTACTTGTGTACAGAAATACCCGTGTACAAGTTTCATATGTGTACGAATGATACCTTGCCCATTAATCAAGTAATATTAAGTAAAAGAAGCAAACTTCCCATCGTAGTCAATGTATACCATACATAAATTTGTAGAATCGTCAATCAGAACCAACTGAAACCTCCAATTATTGGTACAGTGTATGATTTGAGCAATGGATTTTTTCCATTAGTAAAAAGCCTGTATTTACGCATCGATGTCCGAGATCTTTATCGACGTGTCGCTCGTATTTTTCGTACCGAGCCACAAGCTCAGTTTTGAACTTTGTCAAGTTACGTGTCGCGCGTATGCCAAGTATGAATATCCAGCTGTCGTTCGCGATAATAATTATGAACTCGAAATTATTGCTAAACGCCGGGGAAAGATCGCTCGATAATCAAAAAATGTTGAGCTATCTGCACATCTGCAGACGGGAATTTTATCGCTCGGCGCAGGGGCTTCGTCGCCGCGAATCGAGCCACCAACGGTACGCAAACCGCATATATATATATACAATAAATCGATCGTTTCGATATCATCGAAATGGTTTCTCGCATCGATCGCAGATTCGTTCTCGACGACCGAGTCGCTGGAGCTGATACGATTCTTCTCCTCCAACTACATCGCCATGTCCGTGATCGAGATCGGCAGGATCGACGAGGTGGTGCGACACAATCGGCTCTCGGACTCGACTCGGCCCCTCAATCTCGTGCTGCTGATCGAGTCCGCGGCGGGCGTCGAGTCGTACGCGCGGGTCACCCGACGCTGCGACATGCGCGGCCACAACGTGCTGCTGTTCTTCAGGCGTCGATCGGACTACTGCCGCGAGCCCCGCGCGGACAATCGTCTGAATCTGGAGTTCGACTCGTTGCTGCTGGCCTGGTGTCACGAGGCCGCCGTGCTCCAGGAGTGGTACTCGATCTTCGCCGGCCGGACCAAGGTCAAGGACTTGATCGGCTGGGACGCCGCGAGTCGGACTCTGCGTCTGTTGAATGATTTTCAGATGTATCGGCGACGCAACTCGCTGGACGGGAAGATCCTGCGGGTCAGCGAAATTCAGGTAGTATCTTTGAAAATTTGTATGCGAAAAAAAATTCTTCCAGGAGTAAATGCCAGTAAGTGAAAAATTGTAATTTCTGGTCATGTTTGTGTTTAATTTGTAACTTTTTCTTATCTCGACAACAATTTATGGAGCTTAGCGTGAGTTGTGAAATTCAATTCATCCTATTTTTTTTTTAATTGTAAAATTCTGATTACTGATTGAAAGGTAGGCCTATCAAGCTATTTGTAATCCTTAATAAACTCCATACTTTTGAAATCTGTGAAATTTAATTTAAATTCTAATATTTCAACAATTCTCTCATAAAATGTAAATTTTTACCGAATCACAAGAAAAAATAATTTTCGAGATGTAAATTGGAATGAAATTTTCATATTGAGTTAGCAAACTTGTAAAAAAAAGGGGTATACAATGCAAATCTGTTGATTTCAAGTGCTTTTTGAGCAAATTTTGCATGGCACATCAATAGTCTTATTTTAAATGTTATAAAATCAAAATTTTAAGACAAGATAACACTTTCCGCTAGCCTTCGCGCTCGAATTGCTTAGTCACTCACGAGTCCCAAAAAGAGCTATAAAAAAAGTGTTTTAAAGAATAAATTATTTTTAAACAGGACTTGATCGGCACGCACAGGAACGTCTCGTACCATCGCGAAATCATGAGAAACATCGCCGAGAGCATCAACTTCACGGCTCGATTCGCCACCAGACGCATCGCCGGCAAGATTGACCAGAAGCTGCAGAACTTGACGACCGGAATCATCGGGGAACTGATCCGCAACGAGACGGACATCGGCATGGCCATGTTCATGACGGCCAAGAGGGCGGAATTTTTCTCGTTCACCGTGCCCGTGCTGAGGTCCGAGACGACGTTCCTGATCAAGAACGCGTTCGACTCTCGTTTATCGCCGAGCATGTATTACAAGGTATATAATAAAGTCATCGAGGGTCGTTCTATGTTCTAAATTCTATGCTCTTTCCAGCCGTTGGGTTGCAGAACCATCATCTACTTGGTGGCTTTGTACGCGACGTCGCCGGTCCTGTTCGCCCTGACGCTGAGAGACAAGAGAAGCTTCAAGCGGGCCCTCTTCGACAGTTACTTCGACGTCTGGGGCATTTACACGCTGGAAAGCCTAAACGGTATATATATATACGGTCATCGCGCGATCTTCAACGATTATAGACGTGTCAACTCGATCATTTTTCGTTCAGAAAAATTGCCAAACTCATCGACGAGAATCGTGTACTGGTCGCTGAGCTTCTGCTGCTTCATCCACATATCGGTCTACATGGCGCTACTGTGCAGCTACATCACCGTGTTCGACGTCGAGAAACCCATCAACTCGCTCGCCGAGCTAACGGCCCAGCGGTCGTACAAAATTGTTTACCTGAAGAATTCCGGTTATCTGAATTTGTTGCTCGTGAGTATAGTCCCTGATACTCTTCGTACAGGGTGGCGACATTTTTTCAAAATGAAGTAATAATAAAAATATTCAAAATCAATTATTATTTGAAAATAAATTTTAGTTATAAATAATTGATGCTGAGCGCAGCAAAGTCGTACACATTCGATATTGCTAATTTTCGATATTTTACTCTAACTGCGATAACTCATGCAGGGATGAACCAATCGATCTGAAAATTTTACATAGCATTGTTTCGGTCCTGATGGAGTGCTGTATACTTTTTTTAGCGACATCCGTATATCCTAATTTTTTCAAAAATTTTTTTTTTCAAAATTTTTTTTTTCAAATTCGAACTAATTTTTTCTTTTTAAATAAATTTTTTTTTAAATTATTTTTTTATCATTTTTTTTTATACTTTGCCGGCTAGGTGCTATCGCACCTCTGATATACAAAAAATGCCTTTTTATGCAATTTTGAGTTTTGCACCTCGCGACATCTCCACTTCGAAAAAACGTAATTTTTGTTTGCGATCGGTCTTACTTGTGTATCGGTATTTAACATTGTACTTAAGACAAGTATATTATATGTGGTGTTTTGAATACCACTATACTGAGCGTAACATGATTGTGATATAGTATAATTATTTCGTGTTTTGAGTATCACTACTGAGCAAAAATTTATGATATGTTTATTTATTATATGCTAATAAATAAATATATGTTAATTCATGTTATGTTAATTTATTTATTTGTCTCGATGTTTCATCATTTTGCGTGGTATTGATAGGTACGTTTTAAGATCTTTTGTATTGATCTCGTTCTTGGGTATTGCCTTCATGCACACTTTTGACTTGTCTGAATAAATATTTTCTATGTTTAAATTTTTTTCCGCATAAAACAAGCGTGATCAATGTCTTCGTGCTGCGTTTTAATGTGAGTTATAAGACGATCCTTTTGAGAAAATGTCTTGCCGCACTTATTACAATAAGTGGTCTTATTATGCATCAAATTCATGTGTTTTTTAAGACTACCCTTTCGTGTGAATGTATTTTCGCACACTTCGCAAGTATGTGCCACACCTTTATGCATCGCATCGATGTGAATCTTGAGAGAAAATTTTTGTGTGAAAGTCTTTGCACATAGACCACAAGCATGCTTAACACCATTATGTACTCCATCGATGTGGACCTTGAGATTACCTTTTCGTGAAAATTTTTGACCACACATATTACATGGATGTTTAACACCATTGTGTGCATCGATGTGAGTCTTGAGTGCAGCTTCAGTTAAGAATTTCTTCCCGCATACTTCGCAAGTAGGTGCCATACCATTATGCATCGCATCGGTGTGAATTTTGAGATAACCTTTTTGTGTGAATGTCTTTCCACATGTAACACACGTATGTTTAACACCATTATGTCCCTCGATATGCCTCTTGAGATCTCCTTTTTGTGTGAATGTCTTTTCACATATACCACACGCATGTTTAACACCATTATGTACTCCATCGATATGGATCTTGAGTTTATCCTTCGTTTGAAATTTCTTTCCGCATATTTCGCAAGTATGTGCCATACCATTATGTATCGCATCGATGTGGACCTTGAGATAATCTTTCCGTGCAAATTTTTTACCGCATATATTACATGGATATTTGGTACGATTGCGTGCCTTATCAGTTTGGGTTTTGCGTTGACTATTTTGAGCAAATGTTTTTCCATTTCCATCAAATGCATCACTGAGTTCACCATCCAAATTCAATTCCTCTTTTACTTCGTCGACAATTTCTTCCTTAATTTTCATCTGAGTCTGATAATCGCAACTATTTTTCATATGCTGCCATTGATCTGGATAATCGTCCTCGATTTTCTTGACTACTAATAAGTTAATGCCAAGCTTCTCGTCCTTACATTCGAATTCTATTCCCAAATCGTTATTAGGTCCAGAATTTTCATCATTTTCACGAAGCCCATAAATCTGGAAATGAGATTAGTAAAAATACTTGATCAAAATATTATATATAAGCAGTCCCACATCAACACTTACTAAATTTTCTCGACAAAAACTCGAGAATTCGTCGTTTTTAGCATCGCATGCATTGTCAATTATCTTATAATCTTCATTTTTAATTGGGGAAACATCATCTGGTTCTTTCTTCACTCTGCAATATTCCCAATAATATAAAGTATTATGCCATTTTTTTTAAAATTTCATTCTCACGAAACAAAAATTACCTGACATCAGAGTTATATACATCACTGAAATCCATGTTTATCACTCGGAACTTGATCAACGACTAATTGTTTTGTAATGATGTTACACATCGAGCTAGGTAACATAAGTATAATAATATTTACAAATCGTGAAATGAAAGTTTGAGAAAATTTATGTCAACAGAGACACTCTAAACTTATCATTTATTATTGGAGAAATTATACTATTGATCTCGTAATAAGCAATTAGCCATTTTCCTTGAATTGTATCTTATTACGAAGAAATTATAAATTATTGAACACTTCATGAATCGAGCTTATGATGTGTCCTTTACTCCTTTTCGCATAATTTTTTTCGACGCGCAAAATATGAAAGAAAGTTAACGTGAGCAAATGAAGGGTTTATATACATTTTTATATACATTTTTATATTACACTAACGCCAAATACGTGACTACAGTCGCATCTATATCATTTACCATTTTTACACAACGAGCGAATATCGTACATCTATGTAATCTATTTTGTGATAAATATGCATGGTTAAATATATATCTTCATGTAGTCAAATATATATCTATGTATATTGTCACGTGGGGACACCGGGCCAGCTTAACGCGTACTTACAGCTCTATATGTGTTGGCATGCCATGTGCCAATTCCTTTGGTCGCAATGTTGTCCATACCCGCTGAGCACAAAACATCGATAAGTGAAATCTATTTCGTACGTGCGAATTACGGAAACCTGTATTCATATATACCTATACTAATGTACATGTAGGGAACATCAAACTAAAAAATACGCCCTATTTTTGTGTTCTACTTCCAATTATACCAATAATAATTTTAACGGATTTACCAAATTAGCTGACACAAAAAACTCGTTGTAACATTGACTTATTATGATACTCATTGATGCTACTATTATTAATTTCATACGGCTGAAACAACTATTATCATGATGTCGTATGCTATTTCGTTATTTACCATTCAGTCGCTCAGCATTTTGCAACTGTAGTGTAATAAGATAAATATCGAGCAATAATTACTTTTATATGATACTTGAAAATCAATCGAATGAATTCAAAGTGATAAATACTTTAAATTTCTTATAAAAAAATTAATAAAAATTTGAAAATTAATTGTGATGTAAAAATCAATTGAGTCGATTCAATGTAATTCAAGTATCAAATAATAGTATTGCCCAAATGAAATTCAATTGAATGATTTTTTAAGTTTTTATTAATTTTTTAGTAAGAAATTAAAAGTGTTTTCCACTCTAAATTCATTTAATTGGTTTTCAAGTATGTAATAAAAGTATTTATTACTCGGAATGAATCTAAATTGATTTTCAAAATTATTCATTACTTGCATTTATTTTCAATCCGGTCTTTATCAAAGCAATTGTGAAACTATTGAAATTTGTTCAATTAGTTTGCAAATCACTCGTTCGACCATAAAATACCGAAGGAGGTGATCGCGAAGGAAGAGTCTTTTCCCGAAACCATCAGCGAGGCACTGAGACACGTGAGCTTTAGAGTTTTTTACGCGCGATTTTGCAAAATTCTATTATTATTAATTTTTTTTATTCGCTGTATAGGTATGCGATCCGCGCAAAAAGGTCGTCTTCTTCACGGAGGACACGCTGCTGAACTTCAAGGCTCAGAAGCCGCCCTGCGGAGTGTCGGAGATCTCCAAGAGCACCGTCATCAATACCGGTCTGATTTTTCGCAAGAACGATCCCTACACGGGCATATTCAATTACCAGTGAGTATAAAATGTTTTTCTGTGCGATTGCGTGAGGTAAACGTGCAAACGTGCTCGTGCACACAGGTTGCAGAGATTCAATGACTTCGGAATCATCAACTTATTGAAGAACCGACATTGGGGCAAGAAAGTGCAGTACAGGCTGCCCTACAAGCCGGTAAATCTTCGCAGCGTCTGGTACATTCACGCCTTCCTGCTCGGCGGAATTTGCCTGTCGATTATTATAATGATTTTCGAAGTTGCGATATTTCGGTGCAATGTCTGCAAATAATGATGTATAATAAAAGGCGAGGAAAAGAGAAACGCGCGTCGAGACTCGATGAATTCGCCGCTAGATGGCGTATACCCTCAAATTGTTACTCCTGCAAACGAATGAGTATAGTTTCACGGATAAGTGCTTTCCAATTCTCTACTGTCCTGTACTTTATCGTCCTCGATGTAGCTCGCAATTACGATTCTCGCGCTCAGTGCGCTTACTACGGGCAGGTTTACCAGCACACAAGACTTTCGTGCTTCGCAATCTACTGGAAAATCGCCAAAAATCGACAACCCCGCACAACTTTGAAAATATCTCATAATACGATTTATTACATTTAATTTCTCAAATAATTAGAATTTAATTAGAGAAAAAAAATTGAATCATCAAGTTATCATGTGTTTGGATGTTTATTGAATGATAATGTTGAACAAAAATTACATCGAAACGGTATAAATGAAATATTTAGAAACAATCATTTTCGAAAGCTTTCCATTGATCAGTTACATTTTTTCGGTATTGAAATAAATCATCTGGATCATTTTTTTCATGCATGACCTTGGAATTAAAATCTTTTAACATTTTTTTCGAAGGATTAAATTTATGGCAGGATTGACGAATTGAAGAAAAATGTATTCTAATTCTTAAAATGGCGTCTAACGCAACGGATTGCATTCTATTTCTAGCATTTGTTTTGACTGCCTTCATTGCCGAAAACACCCTTTCAACAATTGCATAGCTGGAAGGCAAACTTAGTAGTTTTAACATGTAAAGTGATAGTTCTTGAAAAATAAATTTTCCTCCAGCATTTCGATGCCCGCAGCCTACCTGTATAGGGCGGTATACTGGTCTGTTCAACTACCAGAGATGCAAAATAATGCACGTAAATCGTATGCTCTTAACTTTTATCTGTGCAATCTGGGTACAATAAGGTAACCGCACATATTTTAATTTTTTTATCCTTCTCCCTTGCATTGCTTCAATGTGTCATACAATGTCGCCGGATGACCACCCAAAAATTTTTATTAAAGTTTTTCTCGACCCATCGAAGCTCGAGATAAAGAATTTACATGAAAGAAAGGGAGCCAACGTCGAGTAAACGTTTCGCTACTTCGCGGGCTTTCTTCTCTCTCTTGCCTTCTTTTCATGTCGGAATAATTTTCTCCTTTAAACTTTTGTTGAACAAAAAAAAAGAAAAAAAAAGAACAAAACAGTCTCTCGGACGCGTTACGATCTTGATGCGACTTCTTTCTGTCTCATACTGTCCACCTTATATCGGCCTCTCTCGCAGCTGCCACGCGAGTATAATATTTTGCAAGGGTTCACTGCCGCTCGCCTTTTGTGTTCGCGATGCCGTTGTTTCATTCTCTCTCTCTCTTTCTATCTTTTTTTTTGTTATACACTCGAGAATCTTCATTTAGCCCATTGCGAGCGTAAATAAAAAAAAAAAATTGCACCATGACTCCGCTTGTTTTTTGTTTAAGCGTTGGCACGACGTTTTGTTAAAACTGCGCCGCTTGTTGTACATACGGCAGTTACCAGTGTATATATCTAAAAAAAAAAAAGAAAAAAAAATGCATCAGTCAGTGAAAACAAACGTTGCGCGTTTGCCGAGCTGAGCATTCAAAAAGGCACAACGAGCGAAGATTCACGGGTTCTGCGCTTGCGAGCTTGCAGCAGCAGCGTGTACACGTGAATTTTGTGAGTTTGATTCATTGTGCTTTTGTATACACAGAAATTTTTCTATGGGCTTCGTCGCGTGTCCCGACGATTTCTCTCAGAACAGATATTATGTACAAAAATATGAAAAATATATATTGTATGTGTATATCTGGGTTAATGCGCGCGCCAAGTAAACGCCGTATTGAATTTTCACCCATGTCAATGCAATCATGCGCACGATGTGTACGCGTAGATAACTACATTGAACGCGCGAGAGGATGTGTGTGTGTGTGTGTGCGTGCGTATACGTATGTAAAATGTAAATGAAAAGTATGCCAAGGCTTTCCTTCTTTTTTTTTTTACTCCGTGACTCTTTTTTCTGCTGCGTATAGCGAGTCGGGAAAGCGCGCACGACGCGGCTCATTAGTAACGGCATATTGCATCAAGATGCAGAAAAAAGCTCGTTACGCGTGCACACACACACGCGCGCGCGCGCGCGAAAGAAAAAGTCAGAGGCGTTTTTTAGAGGCAGGGAGAGAGAGCACGCATGATTTTTCTTTCAGTATCGCAGTAAAATAATGGGCTACTTCTTCGATGCATATTGGATTATTTTGGATTATTATTATTATTATTATTATTATATTTGTATTATTATATTTTTTTTTGTAACTTTGTAGAAAAGCCAGCATACGTATCTCTTTTCGACGCACGAATAATAAAAATATGGTGCGTAATATTCTCAGATGATATATTGATGGATAAAGAAGAAACACATTGTCACCCGAAGCAAAAATGATTGACATTTATATTTCAAAATTATTCAATTAATTTTACGGCATTCAATTTTAGCTTACCGTAACATAGATCGGAAGGTTCGTTTGTTTACGTTGACTCGTCAACATTGGGGTATGACCATACGTAAATACTATTATTGAGCCTCGTTGTAAATTAAGTTTGCCATATTAATTCAGAATGATAAAACTTGTGTCGGAGAGAACAATCAACAAAATGGAATTCAACGGTACCATCGATTACGCTGCCAAGTAATTATTAATTATCATATTTAAAAAATCGAATATTTTCGTATAATTGTTCTAATTTATCGTTATTTTCAGAGTAAAGGAAGAGCCCGAGGATATGTCGCTTCACGAGGATGATGATTATCGAATAGATGACGATACTTTTGATACCAAAAGTTTTCAAGACGAATCAGTAAGTCAATCAAATGTATGTCAATATAATCTAGCAATCATTTGTTAAATAAAATGTGTGCTTTACCTTTTATTACAGACTCGTATGTTTAAAAGAAGCCAAGAAACTCACGAAACTCAATCGAACCACGAGATTGAGATTGAGATCGAATGCGTAGATGTAAAACCGATCGTAAATTCATCAGTACCTAAACGGTTAGATAATTGGACGAAAAATCACTTGCTGCATATTCAAGAAGGCAGTGATTTTGAAGCTAAAGCTAAGATAAAAATAGAACCCGAAGATGCTGTGAAAGAAGAATTTTCATATGATGATATTGATAAAGATATAAGTAATGATTGCGAAATTAACGAACAAAATATAAAAATTGATCCTCAAGAATCAGCAAAAATAAGTGAAAAGTATACAGAGTGCGACAAGTGTTTGAAGAAATTTCCCAACAAAAGAAGTCTTAAAATTCACATGAATTCAGTGCACAGTAATAATCTGTATCCATCTCAAGCGTGTGAAAAGACATTTGGACAAAAGGATATTTTGAATGTCCATACCGATTCGGTGCATAATAAAATAACTAGTGCATGTGAAATATGCGGAAATGTGTTCAAACGAAGATATGATCTCATTAGACATATCGATGCGATACATCGTAAAATCACCTACCCATGTGATATTTGCGGAAAGACATACTCAGACAAGAGTACTCTCAAAAAACATATCGATTCGCTGCATAATGGTGTCACATATTCGTGTGATATTTGCGGGAAGACATTCGCACTAAAGAACAGTCTCAAAAAACACTTCGAGTTGGTACATAATGGCATTTCACATGCATGTGAAATATGCCAAAAGACATTCTCAGACAAGAGCAATCTCAAAAAACACATCGATTCGGTGCATGATGGTGTCAGACATGAATGCGATATTTGCGGAAAGACATACTCAGACAAGAGTCATCTCAAAATCCACATCGATTCGGTGCATTATGTGGTCAGACATGCGTGTGGTATATGCCAAAAGACATTCACACAGAAGTGTCATCTCAAAATCCATATCGATTCGGTGCATAATAAAATAACTCATGCATGTGAAATATGCGGAAATGTGTTCAAACGAAGATCTGATCTCATTAGACATATCGATGCGATACATCGTAAAATCACCTACCCATGTAATATTTGCGGAAAGACATACTCAGACAAGAGTTATCTTAAGAAACACATCGATGCGGTGCATAATAGTATTTCTTACGCATGTGACAAATGCGAAAAGACTTTTACGCAGAATTCTTCACTGACTATTCACATCAATGCAATACATGGTAAAATCACCTACCCATGTAATATATGTGGAAAGACATTCAACCGAAAGAATTCTCTAAATGTCCATAGCGATTCGGTACACAATAAAAATACTCACGCAGGTGACAAATGCGGGAAGACATTTTCAGATAAGAGTAATAGGAGAAAACACATCAATGTGATACATCGTAAAATTACCTATCCATGTGATATTTGTGGAAAGACATTCACACAAAAGGGAAATCTCATAACCCATACCAACTCGGAGCATAATAAAAATACTTGTGACAAATGCGGAAAAAAATTCGTGCAAAAAAACAAACTTATTGCTCATATCGACGCGGTACACAATCATGTCAAGCCTGACAAGTGCCGATAACGACAAAAATCTTTGTTACTCAATTTAAAATATCTTAAAATTTACAACAATTTCGCTCTCAATGATGTTGCATACCCATTTCAAATTCTCAAATATTCTATTGTAATAAGATCTCCTTACATATTAAAAGAATAAAATTAATAAATGTTTCTTGAACAATAGTCAAATAGAAGTGAGTCCACTTCATTAATACATTTAACTCAGTTCAAAAGGATTTATTCTATACTAACGGTGTCAAGTGTTCGAAAAACCATAGAAATAAATTCGTTTTTTAAATTTCAAGATAACACGAATTACCAAGCTTTTTTGTCTTTATGGTTTATTTATTTATTTAATTGCCACGCGTAATACAAAAACATTATTATCGCTACTCGTCGTTGGAACAAAAGTAACAAGTACCCCGTTCATACGATGATAAAACAATTGAAATTGAAAGCTCGGACTTTAATCACGGTTCCGGCCTCGGGGCGATAAAGATTCGGGTGAGAAATTTATTACGGCAGCGTCGCGACTATATAGCTATATATATGCAGCAGCAGTGGGAGAGGATGGAAATGGGCGAAACGGACTGTGGCAGCCCCTCGTTCGCAGAGCTGCAGACTGCACTGCATACAGAGCTGCATCCCCTCGGCTGCTGCTGCTGCGACGCCGAGTGACAAACGGCCGAGGCAGTGCAAACGCCAGATGCGATTCTTTCGGAGCCGAAGACACCGCGACGATCGATGCCATAATTGCCTCCTCCTCCTCGTGCGGATATATATAAGCGCGGCTCGTTCGAAATAAAAGACGAGGCTCGATAAATCCGAATCGAGCTGCCACTACAACTACTGCCGCACAATCGACTCTGGTCGAATGCAAATGCGGGGAGCATCGGCACTCGTGCAACTGACAATGAATCGGCGCCAGTAGTCGCCTTTTAAGTCTCAACGAGTCGCTCGCTGCACTGCTCGTTTCGCCGCCGGGACTTTGTCCACTTTGGCCATGTCATCGCGAGGAGCGAGTTTTACCCTTACCCCCCGTCGACGCGACGACGATACAGCTGGTCATTATGCTGTGGGGTACTCGCAGGACTCGAGTGGCAATCGACGCAGCCATTAACGTTGGATGCGGCTTATTTGTTCTCGATGTAAATCAATTTGGCCCGATGACTCGCCGCCGGTGGTAGGAGAAAAACGATCGGATATCGCCGCCGCTGCTGATTTCCACAAAGCCAAACAGAAGCCGATCCGAGACTAGAGCTCGAAAAGTTCGAGGCTTGAAGTGCGTATAAGAGGATGGATGTCGCGTGTCAAAGTCGCAAAGTTACGGTCCATACGGCGGGTGATGTACAGCGTCGATCTTGTTTTCTTTTTCTTTTTTTTTTTTGCTTGGACTCACTCGATACTCGTGTTAGGCAGTAATTCACTCACTGGCCGAATTCGTAGATAAGTCTCGTGGTCGGGAGGGGGCCACGAAAAGTTTGAAGGATATTTACGGAAGACAAGCCCGTAAACACGAAACCGATACAGTAACGCTCGGTCGATTCCTCGAGCTTTTTTCTCTCTCTTTTTTTTCGCCCTCCCAAGTGCTCATTAGAGGCGTCAAGGCGAGGAGAGAAAGAAAAGCAGAGAGAGCTCGGACAGCTGGACAGTCAATGAAAACAATTTTCTCGTCGGCGGATCAACGCAGCAGCAGCAGCAGAGAGCAGTACACTGCACTGCACCGAGCTAATCGCTTTTCCGATCGATCGAGGCCAGCCACTCGTATCTTTTCTAATCGTCGCTTTTTTTCATCCACCTCCTCCGACTCTGTTTTACGGAGCTGAGAAAGTGCGAGCTGAGAGGAAAAATAAAGTCGCTGCTGCGGCTTCGCTTAAATGTTACAAGCAAATGCCTACGATTTTTGGAGATGGCTTCAATGACTAAATTGTTTTAGGCAAAAATAGCAATGCCGACTTTAGGAATTTTTGTGAAATCCCCTACTCAAAGACGTCATCGATATTACCGACGTAAATACTAATTAGTACCTATTATTTACCGCTATATGGCTATCCCTATAATCGAAAGGAAAATAGCAAAGGTCTGGAGATATATTGGAATTCAAAATTTAAAGGTATCATTATAGTGCAAGTCAGATAGTTTTGCCTAAAATATTTTAATAATTGCAGTTATATACTCAAATCAAAGGCATTTCTTATTTTGCCTGAAAAATACGCATATATAGTACTCGTGGATGACTTAACGCCGATCGAACTACTCGAGCTCTCGAGTCATCCGCGGCTTTTAACCGCTGCTGATATAGTCAATTACAGAAGTTCCATATGAACCCATACATACATATTTACATAAAAATGTGTACATGAGCTTTCATTCATTATGCTCTTATGTTAATTATTTTCATTATTTGTTGTTTGTTCTCATATTAATTCATTATGTTCTTCATTTAATAATAATTAAAAAATTTTTATATCGCAAGGTTCAGGTAAGACACAATCATACTTGCAAATTTTTTATTGAAATTAACTATATACATTTACAATTGTAAAAAAATAACTGATGAAATATATGCTATTCTCTGATAAACTATATGGAGTTTGTGAATACTATTAGTTCTAACTATTTGTAGAAACAATGAATTATTCATAAAAAATTTATAATCATCTGATGTACGATTGGACGCGCCGATTTGCGATTATGGGTAAAAAGCAGTTGAACTTTTTTTGACAACATTAATTGCGATCCGCGGATTCATTAAGTTTCGATTTAAAGATTAGGATATTCAGCATTTTTATGGAAAAATCATCAGTATTAATTGCACAGCAAACCATTATTAAAAAATTAATATCACGATGAACATGATTGTTTACATTTGAGCTGATAATGTACATTATCATTTCATTTCCATACACAACATGTTTATAATCGGTCAAATTGATTTTTATTTTGTTCTTCTTTTTGGTTCGTGTACTGCTTTATTGTGTTTGAACAAATTGAATTTTAATCTAAATTTTTGTGTCATGCAAAACCTTGCGACCTTCGTGAACTTTCATTTGTGCCTTATCAATTGTATTTTTTCTACAAATTTCTGCTCGCAATTATCGCATGCATAATCTTTACGACCTTCGTGGACTATCTTTTGGTGCGAGAGCAAATTCGGTTTTTGTGTAAATTTCTTTTCACACATGTCACATGCATAATCTTTACGACCTTCATGTACTGTCCTTTGATGCTTTAACAAATCCGTTTTTCGTCCAAATTTTTTATGACATTTGTCACATGCGAAATCTTTACGACCTTCGTGTACTGTTATTTGGTGCTTCATCAAATCTGAATTTCTTCCAAATTTCCTCTCGCAATTGAGGCATGCGTAATTTTTGCGACCTTCGTGGACTATCTTTTGGTGCGAGAGCAAATTCCGTTTTTGTGTAAATTTCTTATCACACTTGTCACATGCATAATCTTTGCGTCGGTCGTGGATTGTCTTTTGGTGCGAGAGCAAATTCGGTTTTTGTGTAAATTTTTTTTCACACTTGTCACATGCATAGTCTTTGCGACTTTCATGAACTGTTTTTTGATGCCTTGATAAATCTGATTTCCATCCAAATTTCTTCTCGCACTGGTTGCATGAGTAATCTTTGCGACCTTCATGGGCTGTCTTTTGATGGGAGAGCAAATTCCGTTTGTTTTTAAAGTTCTTCCCGCAATTTTGACATAAGTAAACTTTAAAAACTTCGTGGAATATTTTTTTGTGCTTGAGTAAAGTTGATTTATTTTCAAATTTTTTCTTGCACTTGTTGCATGTGAAGTGTTCGCCATCTTTGTGTACAAATTTTTGATGCATAAACAAACTCGATTTTTTCAAAAATTTTTTTTCGCATTCCTTGCATGCTAAATCTTTGCGGCTTTGGTGTTCTGATATTTGGTGCCTACTCAAATGACATCGGAACTCAAATGTCTTTTCGCACTTGTCGCAGGTGTCATTTTTTCATTCATTGTGAATTGTGTCTCGGTGGGTTGTCATGCTTGATTCTAGTGTAAATGCCTCGTGACAAATATCGCAAATGTATTGTTTGTGGTCCGAAACAACAACATGGTGTTTACTTAAATGATCCTTTGAAACAGCTTCCTCGAATTTCTTCTCAATTTTATCCATTTTAATGCTCAAACGATGGAATCTTCTATTTACTATTACGTAAATTTTATAAATAAAATTTATTAGTTGGTTATATGTCACGTTTCATTGGAAAAGACAAAATTCAAATTAATTTGTTTCTACTATAAACATAATCAGTGTTTATTATTTACAACTAAGTTACCGATTTACTTGTGAACTTGTCAAAAATTCTAACGTGTCGAACAATTCTTTTTACCCTACGAAACTATAAGTAATTCAAAACAATTCCCTATAAATCGATTCATGAGATCCTTATACAATATATATTATGTATCATAATTCAAGATTTCAATATTCATTTCAAAATCAAAAGTGGAAGAGCTGAATTATAGATCTTCATTCATTCCAAAATCAAAAGTGGAAGAGCTGAATTATAGATCTTTGAAACATTTTCCGAGAGAAAGAAATGGAGTGTCGTATCTCTAATCATCAAGTAGACCCGTCATTAGGTTCGCGAGACTCTTACCGCCATTAATGTGTTAACCCAGCAACATTCTTGAAATTTTATCGGCCTTGGACGAGACGATTCGACTCATAGGTTCTTCTCCACGATTAAAGTTTTATGTTGATCATTATACGAAAAATAGTCGAGTGTTTACGCGCAGGGTGACTCATGAGTCGGATCGTCTCGCCCGACGACTGCGTCTCCGACAGAGCGAGCAGCATACCATAAAACTCTAAAAAAAACTTGGTTGCCGCGGGGACCTCGAGTTGGATACGATTCCATGCCTAATTGGAATTGATTGGACGCAGATCTGCCGGACTCTTAATCGCTGGCGGGGTCTAGCCACTTGAGGGAGGACAATCCTGGCCACGAGGACACCTAGCGGCCGAAGTGAAAAGTACAGGAAATACTTTATTTCATTTAATGTCGTATTTCCACTTTGGTCTTGAAATTGAATTCTTTCTTGTTGAGATTTTCCAGATTCACTTTTATTCAAATTCCTTTAAAAAAAATGATTTGTTTGCATGGATTTCGATGTTTATACCGCTTATACACTACTTTATACCCTACATATGAGCGAAAAATTGATTTTTTCACTTTTTTTCGATTCTTGATCACGTGAAGTACTATATTCCTAAAGTATTAGACCTCGAAACAAATTGTTTATATCATTCTAATGTTTGTATGTAACTATAATCGTTCAAATTTATCTAAAATCTAAAATATATTTTTTAACACTGCGTGCGCGAAACACGGGTTTTCTAACCTTAAAGCGTCAGAAAACCCTAGTTTCTCGCAAGCAGAGTTAAAAAATATCGTTTGCAACTAGTCCGCGAGGAAGTTGACTCACCCAGGAGTCTTTGCACCCTCGCTACGCTCGGGTGAAAACAACTCCTGGATGAGTCAACTGCTTCGCGCACTTGTTACAAAATATACTATAAAATGCGATATTTTTCAATCCCCATTAATTCTTCCGATTATTCAAGTAATTCCACCACTGTCTTGCAATCTGCTTTCGATTCGAACTTTCGGTGGATTTTCTATGAACCGTTAAAAACGGTTTTCAGGTTACCATTCATCATCATTGCCAAATAACCGTTTACAGGATTAAATTTAGCTTTTACATAATATACCTCAGTATTTGATAATTTCTTCGTAGCACGCGTTTATTTACAATACCAAGACTAATTGACTATTAGGGTTGTTTTTCTGGTCTTTGAGGGTAAAAAAAGATTTCCAGCGCAGAGCTGTCGCTCTCTCATTCTTCTTGCATCTGCAAAAGACTCGAGAGTAGTTTGTACTCTGCGTATATAGGGGAAAGCGGGGCACGTAGACTCACCTAACTAAAATGCTCAATATAAAGTTTGTAATAAGAATAAATGAAAATTTAAACAGACCAATATCAAGATGAGAAGTCAATGAATACAATGCAATAGTCGAAAGTTATAATTTTTGCATATTAATTAAATGACAACCAAAATAAAGGAAGCGTTGAAATCAGTGCTTCTTGCCCCAGCGTGGGTAAGAGTAACTGGGGTGCGGGGCAAGAAGAGCGCACTAGAGAAGTAGGTTGCTCATGCTTGATACTGTCTGCGCGCACATTGTTAATAGACGTAATTTGTTTATGAACTGAAAAATTATGAAAAAAATTGAATACATAAACATGTAAGTATAACTTTTTAGCTATGATTCAAATTTTTACAACACAAAATCTCTAAAATATTCAAAATATTTTTTATTCGAAAAAATCGAGTTTAGAGGATAATCCTCGAAATTTTCTGAGATGACCTTAGAAAATTAGATTTTCCGTAATTTCGGGAAATAAAAAATCTTCTCCAAAAATATTGAAAAAATTTACGGATGTTTTTTAATTAATTATACAACTTATTCGTTCTATTTATTACTCAAATCAATCGTTTTTGCGATAAAAAATAATTGGATTTTTTGTATAAACAATCAACTTCGGGAATGCCGTTTTGCTAGAAAAAGCTAATTTGAAAGTCTGTGAAAATTTCTGAGATACAATTACACTATGACAAACTTTGATCATATTTATGGAATTTTTCATCGTAAAACTTTAAAAATCATTTCCAGTTTTTTACTGCTTGTTTTGTTTAGATATTCATAGCTTTTTTACTACGTTTTTAATCCTAAATCTGAATCCGGATTCGAAAAAGGCATTGAATTTCATATTATCATTGTGAAATTAATCGTTTTTGTATTGAGTTAATAATTGCGATCGGCGACGAGAAAAACAACAACACGGTAAATATGAGGTTAAGTTTGAACGAAAAGTCAGCAGACCGCCGTCACGAATCGTCACAATGCCTGGCGTACCGCGACACTAATTGGGGATTAAACGATGCACGTCGCGCCACCATCGGTCGATTGGTGAACCCTCGAGCCGCCCGAAAATCCACAAAATAACACGCAAAAATGATGGAATTAATTAATTGCAAATTATCCCGAGTGATATATGCATGAAATTTAATTGAAAATCAAAGCTTATGTGATAAAAAATTTATATAAAAAAAATCTCATTGTAAACTTCTTCTAATTTTGAATTATCGTATACTGTAAATCAAGCTGTATACGTCGGAGATTGAAGTTTGAGAGTAGGTGTATGCTAAGACGTCTGCTCGCAGCTGAAGCATACGCAAGCTCGTGTTTGAGTTCGTATAAAATACACAGGTTTGAGTAAACAAATACGATGTCGAAAAAAAACAATGTTAATTATTGTGGCGTTCCACATTGCAAAAACATTCAGGGAGAAAATGTTCGTTATTACCGTCCACCAAAGGACAAAAAATTGTTTAAAAAATGGTGGATCGCATTAAAATTGAAAAAATTAACTCCAAATACAAAAGTTTGTTCTGCACATTTTGATAATTTTGATTTTTTTCCATCAAGAGCGGGTATGTACGTTAAATTAAATATTTTTAGCATGTACTTGGTAACAAACAATCTCACATAAATAATGATTTTTTATTGACAGATGGAGGCATGAAAAAAATAAAAAAAGGGGTTATCCCTTCAAAAAACTTACCACAAACTTTAGTGACTGAAAGAAAGAAAAACCCACAATTGATCAAAGAGCGTTTGGAAAGAGCCCGACAAAGATCGATTAAAAAACAGAGTACAGACATGTAAGTACAGAATAAAACTACACAGGGGTATTATTATTGATTCTAAATATACTGATTTATTTAAATTTTTCAAGCAGATTGATAGAAGAAAACCAAGACATTGAAAAAAATGCAGAGGATTCGTCTGAAGATTTTCAATTACAACAACAAGAAAATGATCCTGTTGCTGACGAAACTGAACAATTTGAGCAAGATGTATATCAACCATGGAAAATAGATAAAGAAACTAGTACAGAATCAGTATTGAAAGTGGACAAAGGAACTTGCACAGATGTAGTGGAGGAACCATCAATAGTGCATAAACTTATAGATAGTGATGAGGCTCTAATAACATTTTGTGGGATACAATCAGTTGCAGAGTTAGAAGCCTTGGTGAAATGTGTTAAAGTTCTTCGCTCAAATTTCAAAATAAGATCTGTTCGGTTACCTATCAAAGATGGTATTCTTTTGACCCTCATGAAACTGAAGCAAAATTTTTCATATACCTTAATTAGTTATTTCTTCAAAATAAGTGTTACATTGTGTAAAAAATATTTTATTCACTACCTTAAAGAACTGTATACAATTCTTTCACCTCAAATAAGGTGGCCGTCAAAGGCTGAAATTCTAGATAACATGCCCAAGTGCTTTGCCAAATATAAGATGACAAGAGTAGTGTTAGATTGTTTAGAAATAACTACAATGAAAACAAAGTGTTTAAAATGTAGAATCCCAACCTACTCTGTGTACAAGTGCAATCATACCGTCAAGTTCATGATTGGAGTTGCACCGTCTGGATTGACTACATTTGTAAGTAAAGCTTATGGAGGAAGAGTGTCAGATAAACAAATCTTTCTACGCTCAAGACTCTTGGACCGACTTAAAAGAGGTGTGGATGCAGTGATGGTCGATAAAGGATTTTTAATTGATAAAGAATGCGCTGAGCTGGGCATAAAGTTAATTAGACCTCCATTTCTCAGAAAAAATTCTCAATTTACTCCTCAACAGTCAACATCAAANTGGCGTACCGCGACACTAATGCCCCGCTTCAGGCGCTACTCTTGCCCCATTAAGACATGTTTTTAAAAATTAAATATTTCATAAAATATTGCGTTTAATGAAATTTTGAAAAAAGCCTTTTCATCGGGAAGACATGACTGTTCTTATGAAAAAAAAGCGGTAGCATAAAAAGCATTATCAAAAAAGATACAGAAGTGTGAAATAAGAAATTTTTGTAATAATTTTAGCGTATTTTTGTTTCGAGTTAAAATTAATAAAATAAACGTTTTTTCGCGTCGTTTTTGCATGCAATCGATAGTTACAAGTATATTTCAACAATAAGTGGGAAAAAAATTTATTTAAAAAATCATTATCATTGAAAAAAACAAGAAGTCGTATTACCCCGCAAGTTACACTTGCCCCGCTCTCCCCTACACGTGTAAAAAAACTACGTACAGGCGCGAACGAAAGAAAGAGTTATCAACGATTGAGAGGCGCCAGCTCTGTCTCGCGCTCACTCTCTCTCTCTCTCGACGAAGTATAGAATTAAGAGCCGCCCTGGAAAGCTTCGTCAGCCGCTTCTGACCCAGTTACCCGGCCAAGCATGGTCGTGTCTGGAACCAAGAGAGAGAGAGAGAGAGAGAGAGAGAGAGAGAAAGAGAGAGAGAGAGAGAGAGAGAGAGAGAAACAGAAAAGAAACGGATGGTGCTGAATGTTTATTTATTTCACTCGAACTTCTAGTCACACAGTCCCAGCTCGTCGTGTGATTTTTGTCCCTCTTTTTCATCAAAAAAAAAAAAAAAAAAAAAAAAAAAAAAAAAAAAAAAGAAGAAGAAAAAAGAATCGAATGTTTTATTTGCCTTGCCTCGGCGATTCTTTGTCCTCCTCCGCCGGGGCGAGTTTTTTTCGATTCTATCCGCGCGAAAAGCATCTCTCTCTCTCTCGCTCCTTGCCTTCTCTCTTTATCTTCTCTCTTTCTCTGATTTTGGTACCCGCAGAGGGCATGTTGCATTCGATTTGAATGGATGATAGAAATCCGCGCGCGCGCTTGGATGAAAAGGAAGAAGAAGATATAGGATTATCGATTTCACGCGCGCGAGCTAGGGGACAACGCACACACACACACACACACGTCGAGTGGATTTAGCGGTAAATACCGAGCGTTGAGTAAACTCCGTCGCCCGCGCGCACCGATTCGTCGTTTCTCGTACTCTATCGTATATATGTATAACCTATACCCATCCTCGCCGCGGCGCGCGCGCGGGGCTTTGCATATCTCATCGATTATTCAGGAGAAATTTTATTACCACGCTCGGGCTTTATATGCGTTCGAAATCTAATGATAAAATGCCGGTGCCGAAATCGATCTCTTATATATACCGATCTCGGCGGGATCTGTATATACGTATAAGATGGCTTGCCGACTGTGGAGATCTCGCGATTTCGAGTAATCGCACACATCGCGAAGTTCTTTCGTTTTTTTGTCTTTTGTTTTTCTCTAGCTCACGCAAAAATTATAATATTATCAGTGACAAAAAGCTCATCGGTGTACGCGCGAGCGTCGTAGTAAGACGGCAGCAGTACCGGTTTCTTTGATAAATTTTCCCTTCTTTCTCCCCCCTTCTACCCTCCCTCTAGGGGAGAGCGGGGCAAGTGTAACTTGCGGGGTAATACGACTTCTTGTTTTTTTCAATGATAATGATTTTTTAAATAAATTTTTTTCCCACTTATTGTTGAAATATACTTGTAACTATCGATTGCATGCAAAAACGACGCGAAAAAACGTTTATTTTATTAATTTTAACTCGAAACAAAAATACGCTAAAATTATTACAAAAATTTCTTATTTCACACTTCTGTATCTTTTTTGATAATGCTTTTTATGCTACCGCTTTTTTTTCATAAGAACAGTCATGTCTTCCCGATGAAAAGGCTTTTTTCAAAATTTCATTAAACGCAATATTTTATGAAATATCTAATTAATATAAGAGCCATTGCGATTATAGATCGAATTGAACCCTCTTAGAGCCAACTTCATGTGAGTACAAGAAATATTTTAGTGTCATCTATATACGCCCTCTGTCTGTAGTTAATAATATCTTTCATATATTAAATTACATACTCATAAGAGTTCCATGCGCGCGTAGCGCGCACATATTAAAGTCTAGTTTAATTTTTAAAAACATGTCTTAATGGGGCAAGAGTAGCGCCTGAAGCGGGGCATTAGTGCCGCGGTACGCCAGGCATTACGACGATTCGTGACGGCGGTCTGCTGACTTTTCGTTCAAACTTAACCTCATATTTACCGTGTTGTTGTTTTTCTCGTCGCCGATCGCAATTATTAACTCAATACAAAAACGATTAATTTCACAATGATAATATGAAATTCAATGCCTTTTTCGAATCCGGGTTCAGATTTAGGATTAAAAACGTAGTAAAAAAGCTATGAATATCTAAACAAAACAAGCAGTAAAAATTTCTGCAAAACTTAAACTGGAAATGATTTTCAAAGTTTTACGATGAAAAATTCCATAAATATGATCAAAGTTTGTCATAGTGTAATTGTATCTCAGAAATTTTCACAGACTTTCAAATTAGCTTTTTCTAGCAAAACGGCATTCCCGAAGTTAATTGTTTATACAAAAAATCCAATTATTTTTTATCGCAAAAACGATTGATTTGAGTAATAAATAGAACGAATAAGTTGTATAATTAATTAAAAAACATCCGTAAATTTTTTCAATAATTTTGGAGAAGATTGTTTATTTCCCGAAATTACGGAAAATCTAATTTTCTAAGGTCATCTCAGAAAATTTCGAGGATTATCCTCTAAACTCGATTTTTTTCGAATAAAAAATTTTTTGAATATTTTAGAGATTTTGTGTTGTAAAAATTTGAATCATAGCTAAAAAGTTACACTTACATGTTTATGTATTCAACTTTTTTCATAATTTTTCAGTTCATAAACAAATTACGTCTATTAACAATGTGCGCGCAGACAGTATCAAGCATGAGCAACCTACTTCTCTAGTGCGCTCTTCTTGCCCCGCACCCCAGTTACTCTTACCCACGCTGGGGCAAGAAGCACTGATTTCAACGCTTCCTTTATTTTGGTTGTCATTTAATTAATACGCAAAAATTATAACTTTTGACTATTGCATTGTATTCATTGACTTCTCATCTTGATATTGGTCTGTTTAAATTTTCATTTATTCTTATTACAAACTTTATATTGAGCATTTTAGTTAGGTGAGTCTACGTGCCCCGCTTTCCCCTATTCCCCAAAACAGAGGATAATCTACGAATATATATACGAGCGCGAAAAACTAAATTACCTCGTTGAAACGCATTATACATGTTATGTATCATTGTTATTATTTTACGAGAAAAGCCCGCGGGGGGAAGGACGCGGAGAGGAATAGTTACTTTTTCCTTCCTGCGAGGGCATCTTTTACTTTATAATTACTTTCCGCTGTTGCTCCGCACGCTACCGATGCTGCTGCTGCTTTCATATATCGTGACCTTGTTTTATTTTTTTATTCTAATACTTTCTCGTCTATATGTGGAAAATTACTCGTCGGCAAGTACAACGTCGATGGAGAAAGAAAGAAAGAAAGAGAGATTACCAACACGTATATACAACTTGCTCGATGGCAAGTTATCACGCGCGAGTAAGATGCAGCGCAGTTTGTGCAATTATACGAGAGAGATGAAGCTCGCGTGACGCGAAACCGACGTGTAAATCATCGTATTCCTGTCATTCGTAAGATAGCTCGACAGCCGGCGGAGTACGTATACAATACGTGTGACGTGTCGCGCGCGCGCGCGCGAAACATGCAATACCTTCTCTCTCTGTCTCTTTAATTTTGTCACGATTATACTAAATAAATCGGTAAAGCTCAAACGGACGTGAGTACATCTCGTGAAGTTTTAATATTTTGCCGTTCAAAAATACTTTTTTTTAGAGCACTCTTGCGTTACTAAAAGCTCGAAAAAAGAGTGTCCAACGAATTCGGGTGAGGGCCTTTGGAGTTTTAAAAAAGCACACGTTAAATCGGAAGCTGATGAAAAATTTTTATGGCAATATGCTCCATTCGCTTAAAATTTATTTGCAATTAACAATGGGCGTGGACGGAGCCCGCGTTTATATTTTATATTTAACTTTTAAAAAAAAAGCGCACACGCACGCATAGTAACAATTCCAATCTATTCTAGTAATAGAAAAATTTCTCATTATTTCTCATAATTTGATAACCATTTACGATAGGGCATTTCGTCATAATGCGATTTTATAAAAGAATCATGGAAATACTAAAACTAGTTGGCAGACGACTCGGATAATAAGGTATTTCGCTCGGTATTTTTTTTCGAAAGTACAGCTTGCCAAGTGATGATTTTTGGTTTAAAAAGCTCGATGGGTCTTTCGGTAATCAGTATTTGAAAATCAAAAATAGGATGAGTTAAAATTAAAAATTCACAAATATATGATCTCGCGTTTTTATATAGTTAGAAATTGTTGTCAAGACAAAAAAAAACTTTAAAATTGCATTAATTGGTAATGTTTTTGTTAAACTTTAAAGTTTTTATATGAATATTAGGGATTTGACACAAATATTAAATCTCACGAGATAATACTAATGTATGATACGATGACGTGATTAAAGTTACACATTTTGAAATTATATACAACGCAGAGAGATCGGAAGTGTGCATTACATTCTGATAGCTGGTCAGCAAGCTCGAATCACACTTTCGAGTGCATATTGAGTCTCTCTCTCTTTCTCGATCTATTTCAAAGACGATAATTTAGCTTTTCTTCCTCCTCCTTTGATGTTTTCCGAGCACTTCAATCTCGCTTTATGGTATACGTCGTGTCGCTTTAAACTTATTTACCAAAAAACGTTACACGGGGAAAAGGAAAACGCCGCAAAAAATTGACATATTGAATTAACGATGTATATAGCCTTTTTCTTTTTCTTTACCTCTTTTTTTCTTCTCTCTCTCATAATAGGTCGTAAAAAGCCATTAAATACTCGCGAAACAAAAATAAGCAAGCGCTAGCTGTGCTGTGGAAAGCGCGTTCAAGGATCATGCGCGCGGCGCGGCGCCCGTGAAGGATAGAAATAACAGTGCAAAGTGCACTCGGCAGTTTCAACAATAGCCGCGAACGGCTTGGGCGAGCATAGCAGTATGCGTAGCGGCGGTGGTAGCCGCAGTAGTAGCACAGTAGCGGAGAAAAGAGAGAAGGCGGGAGAGGATGGAAAAAAAGGCTTTTAAACGACGGACGCGCGCGCGTATATTTTAGATATATATAGAGAGAGAAAAAGCTGAAACTGTATACGCCGAGCTGCGCGAGGCACTTTCTTTCTAGTGGAAATTTATGTTTACGTTAGCGGAAATATTTATACACGTTTCGTTTGTGATCGATTTTCGTTATGTATATATACTTGGGTTCGATGGGAAACGATGAGGAACAGAGGAAGATGGTCAAAATGTAGTAATTGGTTACGGGACAATTACGAGAGAAATTTGTTTCAGATCACAAAACATTTGCGTATTTATTTCAGACATTGTCATTGAGGTGTGCGTGAATTTAAAAAATAAAAATGGAAAAAATTAAAATTGCAAAGAGCTTTTAAATGTGATTTAAGGGATTATAGGCAACTTTAAATCGAACATTTTTTGTTTCAATTTTTGGAAAGTTGATTTTTCACTGAGATACAGCAATTTCTGTGCTCCTGTTTCGTTAACTTTGGGTGTTAAATTTTTTCTTCTTTTCGAGTCGTGTATTCGATCAATTTGTGCAAGACTCAGAGCGAACCTTTTGAACTACAGAACCAGTAACGTACATTTTTTCAGAACATAAACGATTATAAACGCAATTTTTTGTAATGTTTGGCACAGAACTAAAAGTCGAGAGCAATCTATGGGTTATAAATCATTTTCTTCAGATATTTACTTATTCGAGAATTTTAAAAGGTAAAATGTAATTTTTTTCTTTAGAATGAATCGGTTATTCAGAAAATTTACTAAACTTATTGATTATTTTTATGGGTTCTATACCCTCGGTGAAGCAAAAAGTCGGTTAATTTCGTAGATTTTTTTACGGGCTTGAAGAAAATGTTACACTTTATAAATACAATCTTGAGCTACATAAAACCATTTATTTTATTCATACCTATGAATTTGCAAGAATTCTACGGTTAATCAAAAAATGTTTGAATAAATAAGAGAGGCATGGCCCGTTGAAGAAATTTTGAAATCCACTGAACCTATACTCTCCGAATTTTTACTGTTCACCTTTAATGACTGTAACTATAGCATTAATAGGATGATTTTTGATAATTGCAAAAGTAACAAAATGGTGGAAAAATGTTTTCCAACGTTTTTCTAAAAAAAATTTTAAATCAAAATTTCGAAAAACATCCTATACCTATACGCTGTAAATGTAGTTATTAATATTTTATGGTAAAACTTTGGAGAGAATCGATTCAGTATTCTTCAAAAATCCTTCTACAAGGTATCGAAATTTTTTCAATTCAGTCTTCCGAACAATTACACTGAATCGTACATCAAAATTTTCATTTCATTTGAACATGAATAATATATATTTATTAAATCTGATTGCGCGAGTTATGCGCCATGTCGATATGAGCTTTAACACTTCTTTTCCATCTGAATGTCTTTCCGCAGGTTTTGCACGAATGGATGACATCATTATGCACCGAATCGATGTGATTCTTGAGATTACTTTTGGTTGAGAATGTCCTTTTACATATATCACATGCAAGTCTAACACCATTATGTAGCGAATCGATGTGTTTTTTGAGATATTCCTTCAGTTTAAAAATCTTTCCGCAAATATCGCATTCGTGTCGGACTCGATTGTGCACCGAATCGATGTGTTTGGTGAGACCATTCTTGCCTGAGAATGTCTTTTGGCATTTATCACATGGATGAGTGATTTTACGGTGCACCATATCGATATGGATTTTGAGATGACTCTTCTGTGTGAATATCTTTTCGCAAATATCACATGCATGTGAAATGCCATTATGCACCGAATCGATGTGTTTTTTGAGACTAACTTTGTGTGAGAATTTTTTTTGGCATATACCACACGCATGTCTGACCACATAATGCACCGAATCGATGTGGATTTTGAGATGACTCTTCTGTGCGAATGTCTTCCCGCAAATATCACACGAATATGTGATACCATTATGCACCGCATCGATGTGGATTTTGAGATGACCCTTTTGTGTGAATGTCTTTTCGCAAATATCACATGCATGTGAAATGCCATTATGTACCGATTCGATGTGTTTTTTAAGACTGCTCTTTAGTGCGAATGTCTTCCCGCAAATATCACACGAATATGTGATACCATTATGTAGCGAATCGACGTGTTTTTTGAGATTTTCCTTCAGTTTAAAAATCTTTCCGCAAATATCGCATTCGTGTCGGACTCGATTGTGCACCGAATCGATGTGTTTTTTGAGACTTCTTTTGTCCGAGTATGTCTTTGGGCATATATTGCACGTATGTGAAATTCCATTATGCACCGAATCGATGTGATTTCTAAGATTACTCTTGTGTGAGAATGTCTTTTGGCATGTATGGCATGCATGCCTTATTTTATGATGCACCGAATCCATGTGTTTTTTCAGATTACTCTTTTCTGAGAATGTCTTTTGGCATATATCGCATGCATGTTTGACACCACTTCGAACCATACCCACGTGTGATTTGAGACTCTTCTTATAGTTCGACTTTCCAACACATTCTTTCTCATTTTTTTCGTTGAGTCCACGTCCGAAATTGAATACAGTGGCTTCTTCGCTTAAAATTTCTTTCTTCACTGTCCCGATATTTTCTAATTTAATTTTGCTTCCAGTTTTGTAATCATTGTTATCTTGCCAGTGATTTGGAGAGAAATCTTCAATTTTCGCTACGGCCAATAAATTGGGCTTCATGTCTGTACATTCCAACTCGATTTGAATGTCGTCAAGTTCATTCTCATGATTTTCACCATATTCTTGAAGCCCTTGGGTCTGAAAACAAATAAAATTATTAGGAATGTTTTATCAATGATGGAATATAATGGTGGAATATAATTATCAACACTTACTGAATTTTCATGCCAAGACCTCTCGTATTTAACATTTTGAGGAACTGCAAGTGTCGTGTCAATTATTTTATAACCGTCATCATCATTGAGAGGGTCATCACGAGCCTCTTCTTTCACTCTGAAAAAGATGTAATGAAACTTAGTATTTTGAAATAAGATTTTCGTAGTTTAATCCTTATAAAATACAAATTACCTAATATCAGGATTGAATAAATCACCAGATTCCATCTTACTTGTGGTAAATCTCATTTGCGACTGACTCTTTCAATACTAACGTTACGAGTCGAACAAGCTCAAACCGAATTCAATAATATTTACCAATCATGACATGGAAATTGGCACTCATGTAAACGAAGCAACATTAACTTCATAACATTGGACAATTTACGTTATCGATCTACCTCATGAGACGGATTCGTTGAGTCGAGCTCGGTGTTCTAATTGCGGCACGCAATGCTCGTAAGTCGCATTTTTTAAGAAAGCTGAACACTACCTTGCAAGCTGCCAAATTTGGTTCGGCAGCAATGCGTTACACGTTCTGAATCGATGTGGGGTTTTGAGTTCACTTTTTCGTTTGAATACATTTCCCCGAAGATCGCGAGCATGCCTAACATCATTGTGCTCCAAAACAAAATCGGTCGAGTTGCGCGAGAAAGATATTCGGACGCAAGTTCCGCCCAGTACAGCTTGTCCACACTCAAAAAAAAAAGTCAAGCGAGAGTAATAAGCTGTTACTCGAGTGACGTATTCATCGAGTTATATATAGTTTCGCGTCGAGTCGCGCTACACACGACGCAATTCTCGAATTTCGATGCGCATAATAATGTACATCGTATACAATACACATATACACGGCATTCGGTACGGGGGGATATCTGGTGGTGTTGTATCTCTGCCTACACATACCTTTCTCCGCGTGTACGCGTTTAGCTAATTACACGGTTGAAGCCTCTGTCTCGGCGGTGTCGCGCGACGACGCTGTCTTGCCGGCGCGCGCACACACACCATTATATTATACGCGCGTGTCTCGCTCTCTGGCATTAATGCCACGCGCGCATACATATATGTACAGGAGCATTGACATCGCCCAAGAAATCTTCAATAGAAATTGTCAATAGAATATTAATCCGAGATAATAACGCCGCGACGCCGAATGAATAGGGGATGTATACTATGTATGCATATGAGTGACAATGCGGAATACAGATGGAGAGAGAAGAGAAGAGACGAGATGCGTGTATATATAGGCACACGATGTGCCAGAAGCTCGACTCGGAGAAGCTTGCGGCACGCGTCATCTAGAGCCGTGTATGGTATATGTAGGGCATTGTTTCGCGCACATCTCTGTGTGTATGAGGTACCAGTTTGACTGACGTACATATGCTGTTTATATCCGCGCCGTGGCTCGACGTAAGCGCGAGATGCGTGTTACGCCAACATTGCGTGTCGAGAGTTTTTGCGCTTTGTAAAATCGATCCCTCTGTCGATGAAGCGGACGAACGAGTTTTACCTTCGATTCGTTTGCATAACCGAGCTTTAATTTTGATATTTTTAAGATGACAAACCAATTATTTATTCAAAGTACTATAGCAATGAGCGTCGAAAAAAAGCTTCGAGGGCTTGAAAACAGCGACGATTTCAAAATTCTCGAGTGTGCAGCCCAACAAAAAGAATTTTAAACTAGTATAACCAGAAAAATAACTCATTCTGTTTGAGTAATTAGCAGCGCATCGATTAAAAGCGCGTAGTTAAAAATGTCCACTGTAAGTCGAGAGAGCGATCGTAAGCAATCGAGTCAGACGGAATGAAAGCTGCGTGCTCAAGGACTGCGATTATCTTCGTGATACTTATTTCATAGATCATTCCTGAAGGTGTAAACAGTGGCAAATGGAAGAAAAAGTTTTTTTTTTCAAATATTTAAAGTTTATTTTGAAACTCGCGATTTCAAGACAAGTTTCAGAAGATTTATACTTATACATTTTCAGTTCAATATGACCTTGAAAATCTCACTTTATGTAGTAAATTGATGATCGATTGCTTTCACACACAAGTATTAGAAAAAAATTAAATGAGTCAAGTAAGGGTATTTTTTTTTACCAAACTAAAAAAACGTCGAAGCCTTGCGCAAATGCAGTGGCAGCTTTTCAATCGTTCTTATACGCGAATTACTTTTCACGCGTGCGGATCCGAGTAATCGAGGTATCGAAGATTATCGATTCGTATTATCGTACTCACTGTACACAGTCTCGATCGCGCGATACAGCAGCTGCTGCAGCAACGACAATGCAAAAAATTGCGTATTCGTGACCCATTGTACGACGAACAAACTAGAAAATGTATATATGCTTCGGCGCGTAACAAAGTTTATACATAGCATACACGCATATTCCGCAGGACGAGATCCCCCAGCGTTCGCGCGCGATCGAATCCTCGAGAATCCAAGATGAAAGAGTGAGAGAAAAAAAAGGTTAAATCGAATAAAGGAATCAAAAGAAAGAGAGAGAGAGAGAGAGGAAACTTATGGATATACACTCGGTATTCCGCGAGTCGATTCTCCTTTTTCTCCTTTTCCGTTCGAATATGACAGTATATATGGCTGGCCTCGGCTTAATGCAGCGACGACGGACGCGCGCTTGTAGCTTTTTCGAGCTTTTTCGACGTATACACACACACATGGGCACAGTCAAAGGATAAAAGCTTTTACTGCAGTGTTTCTTTGTTTTCTCGTCTCTCTCTCTCTCTCTATCTCGACACGTAATTCTATTTCATTTATAATAAATAATAATAAATATTACGCTTAGCCCCGCGCGCATAAAACAATAATACACTCGAAATATCGATCGCGTTTCAGGGGTGTCCCCTGCCATTATATAATCTACGTCGGTTAGCGTCGCCGATCGGCTAATGTCAAAAGTTTCAACATCGAATATAACGTCTGTGTGTGTGTGGCGGATTTAACTTAGAAATTAATCTCACCCACGCGCGCGCACCTCTTCATTATGTGCTCGGGGCTTGGCTCGGCGCGGGCAAACTTCGCCTTCCTCTCGCACACACACACACACACACACACACGCTCTCTAGCAGGCAGAGCTTCGCACTGCACAATTAATTATATCGATAGCGCGCGCGCGCTGTTTCTGAATTAATCGTTGGATTATTTTCTCCGAAGCGCGCGCGGCTCTGTCTCTAGGCTCTACATGTATTATGTAATGCGCATTAAGCGCCTCGCGCGTCTCCGAGCTGTCACGCGCTGTACGTTAAAGCTGCAAAATGTCAAAACAATGTCGATTAGGGACGAAACTATATACGATGCTCGGGTTGCAAGGCTCAAGGCGAAATTGTCACGATCGTGTCGCCGCGGCTGATCATCAATTTTGACTTTCGCGCGATCGCTTATACACACCTATAATATGTATTAATCAAAAAGCGCACTTTCCACTTTATTTTTATCTCGACGACGGTACCGACTATTGTATACACAACGTAAACAATTAAACGCGTGCGGCAGTGGCATAGGTGCGGAATTTCGGGGGAAAATTATTATCCAAAAGTTGCGGTTTTCTCTAAGAGTCGAGTATACAGTCATGCGCATGCACACACACACACACACGCATACGCGCATTCTTCAACTCTTCCGCAGTCGCGCATATGACAAGCTACTTCGTTGTCGTTGTTGCTGCTGCTGCTGTTGTTGTTGTTGTTGCATTTTTTTGTTGCGTTTTGTTTCTGCTTTTCTTTCCTCTCTCGGCGGCTACTGTACATAGGAGTGCTGCGGAAAATTTATGAGATCTTGCGCGCGGCATGTCGAGTGTTTTGTTGTTTTTTTTTTTTTTACCACCCTCTATTTCACCGCGTTTGTAGGTACGAATAATTTGCATATACGCGGGGCACGGATCGCGAGGAAAAAATTGAAAAAAAAGACGACTTAATGCCGATCTCTATTTTTAGTAAGGGTGCGCAAGACAGAAAACATATACTACACGAGAGTGGACCTCGATAAGATTCAAAGGGATTTTTCGATTTGGGCGCAGTCCTTACATATATATGGGAAAAAGCAGCTCGAGACGTTTGACTGACGCGTCTATATATAAGCGCCCATTAGATTCGAGATTCACTTTGTAAATACGCGCGTAAAACCTTACTTACTTCTTTTTTATTTCCATGAAAACGCGTGCGTTCCATTAACCAATCGATCATTTCAATAAACCACGTATAGTAGGCGGGTGGTTGTGTACTACGCGCTTGGAGGCGAGAAAAATCGCTTCAGCCTCTGCCGCTGCACTTCCAGAGAAAGAGAGAGAGCGAGAGGGTGGCAGCTAATGTAGCGAAAATGTCGGACATTTTAAGAAAGGGGCATCGATCAGCTGCCGTTTGCGCGTAACGCTGCACGCAGTCGCTGCCACGCGAGCGCGCGGAGAAGGAAGGAAAAGTTTTCGTAACTTTTTTCTTTTCTTCCTCTTCTTTTCGCTTCGGCTTTTCGTCAAAACTTATATCCCGAAGGTTATACGATCGAGACAAAACCGAACGTTTTCTTTCTCTTTCCGCGACCGATCCATCATGTAGTCGCGTGCGACTTATTGATTAAAAGACAAAAAAAAATTATTGTAATCAATCGAACTGAGTCGCGCGAAGGAAATCTCTACTCGGAGACGATATCGCCAAGAACAGCGAATAATAAATTGTTGAATTATTCGAGCTGCGAGTGGCTGGATAAATTTTTCAATATTTCGTTCGTCTCGCGGCTGTATCGAGGAGGTTGATCAACGCGTTTTGCAGTGGGGAGAAAAAAGCGGAAACTCGGGCAAAGCTCTGACGCAGGACAGAAGAAAAACTTACGCGCGGCGCGAGCGCAAGTACAAAAGATTCCATCAGGAGAATTTGAAGCGAGTACGTGCCGGGAAAGATTACGAGGCTATATTGTCACGCCGTACAGCTTCTTATATATCTATGTTATGGTATACATGCGGCGTTCACCTTCTGACTTTGTATTATGTCATGTATGCGTATATGTGTGTGTGGGTGTCGCGCAAAATCTAAGTTTAAGAACGGATGGTTTAATATTGTACCTTGGACCGATGAGACAGATGGTCGTGTGTCTGATTTTCATGAATAAAAATGTATTTTACGCTAGAGAAGCAGATCGAGTTGAAAAGCGTATAGCTTTGATTTTTCAGATACTTCTGTGAGCTCTCTGTATAAGTTTATGAATGGGGGAAACTATTTTTGGTAAAATGATCAAACTCATTTGTCAACATAATTATTTTGCTTTATTTTTTGCGATTTGCATCATGTAACTACAAGTTTTTTGCCTTCATTATAATGTTTGCGGCTTTAACTATTGATGTATCGAAGATGTATTATGAGTGTGTACCACTTGAGCGCTTCAACTCAATTGGTTTTTTATGTTATGTTCATATATACAAAAAAAGGACAGATAATAAAATAAATGTTTAAATATAAAAGTTGCCTTTAACTATTGAACATTTTTCAAATTCACCATACATGAAATATATGCATAAATTTGAAGATAATTTTGTTGAATATACATTTCACTTATTACATGAATTGGTAAGTTGATTCATAATTGAATTGGTACACATTTCAAGAATATTCATTTCATACTGTGGAAACTCTTATTAACACTGGTGAGGCTTGACATGATTGTGTACTGTGTCGATGTGAGCAATAAGTTTGCTTTTTTTTACGAATTTTTTTCCGCATTTGTCACAAGTATTTTTATTATGCACCGAGTTGGTATGGGTTTTGAGATTTACCTTTTGTGAGAATGTCTTTCCACAAATATCACATGCATGCTTGATTTTATAATGCACCGAATCGATATGGATTTTGAGATAACCCTTCTGCGTAAAAGTCTTTTCGCATTTGTCACATCCGTAAGAAATACCATTATGCACTGAGTCGATGTGGATTCTGAGACTGATCTTTACTGCGTATATCTTCCCGCAAATATCACAAGAATATGTGACACCATTATGCACCGAATCGATGTGTTTTTTGAGATTGCTCTTGTCTGAGAATGTCTTTTGGCATATTTCACATGCATGTTTGATTTTATGATGTATCATTTCGACGTGTTTTTTGAGATTGATCTTCAGTGCGAATGTCTTCCCGCAAATATCACACGAATATGTGACACCATTATGCAGCGCATCGATGTGGATTTTGAGATGACTCTTGTATGAGTATGTCTTTCCGCAAATATCACATGGGTAAGTGATTTTACGATGTATCGCATCGATATGTCTAATGAGATCAGATCTTCGTTTGAACACATTTCCGCATATTTCACATGCATGAGTTATTTTATTATGCATCGAATCGGTATGGACATTCGAGATATTCTTTTGTCCGAATGTCTTTTCACACGCTTGAGATGGATAGAGATTATTACTGTGCACTGAATTCATGTGAATTTTAAGACTTCTTTTGTTGGGAAATTTCTTCAAACACTTGTCACACTTTATAGACTTTTCACTGATTTTTGCTGATTCTTGAGGATCAATTTTTATATTTTGTCCGTTGATTTCGCAATCATTACTTATATCTTTATCAATATCATCATATGAAAATTCTTCTTTCACAGCATCCTCGGGTTCTATTTTTATTTTGGATTTAGCTTCAAAATCACTACCATTTTGAATATCCAGCAAGTGATTTTTCGTCCAATTATCTAACCGTTTAGGTACTGATAAATTTAGAATCGGTTTTACATCCACGCATTCAATCTCAATCTCAATCTCGGGGTTCGATTGAATTTCGTGAGTTTCTTGGCTTCTTTTAAACATACGAGTCTGTAATAAAAGGTAAAGCACACATTTGATTTAACAAATGATTGCGAGATTATATTGACATACATTTGATTGACTTACCGATTCGTCTTGAAAACTTTTGGTATCAAAAGTATCGTCATCCATTCGATAATCATCATCCTCGTGAAGCGACATATCCTCGGGCTCTTCCTTTACTCTGAAAATATCGATAATTTAGAAAAATTATGCAAAAATATTTGAGTTTTTAAATATGACAGTTAATAATTACTTGGCTGCGTAGTGGACGGTACCGTTGGATTCCATTTTATTGAATGTGCTCTCTGACTCTGCTTTTATTATTCTGATACAATATGGCAAACTTAATTTACAACGAAGCTCTATAGAGTATTTACGTATGGTCACGAGTTGACGAGTCAACGTAAACAAACAAAATCGCCGAGCAATTCTATAGTCAATATTTCTACAAATAAATTGAAATAAATTATAGCGAGCGATCGAAATTTTTAAATTAAAAAATAACACACTGGGAAGACAAATCCTTCGAAACAATTACTCCAAAGAAAAGCGACCTCTAATGACGATGAAAACTCGCAGCAATGCCAGCAGCTTCTAACTTTTGTTTCCGGCACAGCAAGTAGGTCTCATTTCGATATACGACAGCGGCAACCGGTGCGGGGATTCCCGAATATAACTTGAGACGTTAATTGCGGACTGCGGTGTGCTGCTGCTGCTGCACATTGAGTGGCACACAGTGCATGCAGGAGCCAAAAGCCGCTGAATGCATCCTCGCAAAGAGACGTATACGAGACAGAGAGAGAAGGAGAATCGCGTCTCGCGCGCATTAGGCTTGATTTCACTCTTGTTCCGCAGCAATAGTGTGCCAAGAATTTGCCGTACGTACGTTATATACACGTATATATATATATGTAGGTGCACCTGTGTCTCTTTGTCAGGCCCGCTATGCAGACGTGCTCCGTGTGCGTATGTGATATACCATATCTCGCGAATGGCCAGAAGATGACGACGAGGAGAGGTTGAGGACGAGGCTCGTTATGCGCTGCTTTGTGGGCTGGCCACACAATACACACCATCCACTCGTCCCGTATAAGGAGCGCGTCGTTATATTTTCATGTGCCAATAATTCGACGCTATTTTCTTTGGCTTTCTTCGTGAGGAAGCTCTGCGATAGACTATATATTGCGATTTAAGCATGTATTGTACACTGTTAAAATATTTGCATTAAAGTTGATGTATGAGTGGTGGAAGTTTTTTTTCATTTACGTCGTTAATTTAAGTTTGAAGTAAAAATCAAGATCAATTTTGACTTGATTTAAATTCAAGTATTATGTACGACATCAATCATTAAATGTAATGTAGAATGTTCTTAATTTACTGCAGATAACAGTGATTTTAATTATTTTACAAGAAAGAAACAGATTTATATGCGTTAGATTAATTTTCCACCTTTTAAATGTAAAACTTGAAGTCAATTTCATCCTTTTCATGCATCTAAATTATAGAAATAAATCTAATAACGTCATATTTACTACCTACAACGGTATTAATTTCCAAAAGCCCGCTTCGAGGTTCAAAAATTTCTTCAGTCTTGCAAGCAACTCAACAAAGTAAACCTATTTAATTTCATTTTAACACTAGCTGATGTATAGACAGATATATTTGATTTATCGTACGTTTTTTAAAACAATTAACGCAAACCAACATTAAAACATTGCTTTTCAATCAAATTGCTTAAAGTTAATCATATAATCAAATATTAATGGTTTATATTTTATGAATTAAAAATAATGTACGTTTTAAGGCATATACGTGCATTTCAAACGAAACCGCATACAATCCATATTTTTCTGCGATACTCAAAATTCCAAAAGACGAGACGATTGACCAGTGACCAATCGCTAAAGAATTTACATCTCAAAAGAGTCAAAGTAAGTATACTATTTATCTTGCGCGAAACAAACCTTATTGGCACTCGACACTTGACAATAATCGCGACAGACCGCGTCATATGACTTATCGTAAAAAACACAAGGGAAAATCAGCGCGTTGCGTCATGCTGATAAGATATTGAAGTAACGCGAGATTCGTCATCTCGATATAACCCAAAGACCGAATCATTCGGACAATATACACGTATTTACATGTATTTCGTATTCTACACAGAATCATAGCTGATTCGTGTAAGCCGATGTAGGTCCCCTACGATTGTATCTCGCAAAATTTCACGCATGTACACAGCCCACTCGATAGCATCAGAAGAGTTGGCCAGCTGATAATAAAAAAATGAGCTCGTTCGCGTATAAAAATATCTACGAAATTCGCTCGATTTTTAGTCGGTGTCGCATGCTCTGTGGCGAGCTTCGCGCAGCCTATTCGCCATGGATCGCAGGTTGCAATGGATTGTGTCCATAGTCATCGTTCTAATAATCGTGATCACGATCGTCTGCAGCGTTAAATTCGCGGGGAACCATAATCATGTAAAACCCAGGCATCGACCCCGTACGACCACCACTCATAAACCTAGGCATACGACACCGAAACATCATCAGCAGCAATCGACTACTCCACGACCAACTTCTAAAATAACTACCCCGCGACCATCTACTAAATCAAAGGTCGGAGGATCGTCCAGGCCTACCGTACCACCACACCATACTACACCTACTAGGCTTCCACAGGATCATTCCAAAGGAAATAGTAAGCCTCCTACCATCAATACCAAACCAAGTGGGCATCGTGAAGCGAGTTCAAAACATTCGGTGCATCCAACGGGAGTATCTAAGCCTTCTAATACCAAGACCAAGCTCGCAGTGCATCCAACCAAGACGCATTCTCCGTCGCATCACGTCACTCCGACTAGACATCGTCGCTCTCATGCGTGAAAAAAAGAACTTGATCTCTATCGTGTAGATTGATGTGTGCGCTTAGATAATACACAAATTAAAATATGTGAACCAAGTGATTAATGAATGTCGATGTGATTGTGCCTGTATACTCAGTGAAAAAAACAATTGCGTGCAGTGTGTACTTAAGATAATTTTGTTATGTAAATAATATTTTTCAAGCGTTAGATTTTTAAGAAAATTATTATAAACTGTGAATTAAACTTACAGTATTGCTTACATGTATAAATGTATAAAGATAAAGAAAAATTACCAACTGATATCAGCTAAAATTATTGGAGACCCAAATTATAATTAAATTACCGATGAATTAAGTGGTATGAAATTTGATATAATTTTTTCAAATTTTCATTTGTGGTTCGCGTTGACGAGGTTTTATTGGAACAAAAATCTTGAGAATTCTCAGAATATTTTAAAAATTTCAGCTTGCAAATAAAATATCGTTTCATTGTAATTTTTCTGGCTCTTTTTCTTATCTCAATTAATAATGCAATTAAATAAAAATAGATCAGATAATACAACACTATGAAAATATTTGCACAAATACCGTTAACTTTTATCGACATTTTAAACTGATTTAATTATGACAACTCAATTTTTTTTATTCCCTCATCTATTAAAATTTTATTGGTTGTGTTTATTTTCTCTTCTCGATCAGTGCCTCAATGACTCAATTGGCCAAAAAATCGTACTTTTTAAAAATCAAATTCAATGGACAATCGAAGTGCACTGACAGCGAGCTACTGCAGCCATATAGTAAGTTGGCGGCGCGTTTTGTTACCCTATTATCGCCTGTACCTAGCACTACACGCCATTGGCGTATATTATATAGGATTTACGACAAAATGCTAAAGAAGATTGAGCTTGCGAATTCACATCGATCGAAGCCCCCTACTAAACAAAAAAATAAGCACACATTACAAGCCAACTCGTGTCATATCAACCTAAAAATCGCTTTATGCATCGAGCGAAGTATAAGTAATGAGACGAACTGAATTACGTTCTTATACATAGTGAAAATAATTGTATAAAATTTATACTATTATTTTCACTAGTACTATAATAGTATAAATTTTATACAATTATTTTCACTATGTATAAGAACGTAATTCAGTTCGTCTCATAAACACATAATTTTCAAACAAAATAGATTCAATTCATTACTCAAATTTAAACAATATATTGATTAAAAATTAATAATTTAATTCTGATATGCGTTAATTTGTAAAAAATCGATGAAAGTTTGATGATAATTAAAGCTAATCTCCATCGCCAGATGGCGAGTGCCTTTATCTCTAATTCTAATATAATAAAATTTATATCTAATCTCTAAAATAATAAAATTTATACTATTATTTTCACTATAACACTTGCAGAATTAGAGATAAAGGCACTCGCCATCTGGCGGTGGAGATAAGCTTTAATTATGATCAAACTTTCATCGATTTTTTACAAATTAACGCATATCAGAATTAAATTATTCATTTTTAATCAATATTTTGTATAAAATTTATACTATTATTTTCACTATAACACTTGCAGAATTAGAGATAAAGGCACTCACCATCTGGCGGTGGAGATAAGCTTTAATTATGATCAAACTTTCATCGATTTTTTACAAATTAACGCATATCAGAATTAAATTATTAATTTTTGATCAATATATTGTTTAAATTTAAGTAATGAATTGAATCTATTTTGTTTGAAAATTATGTGTTTGACTTACTGTTAATGGATTATGTGCGTAGTTTGTGTAAAAAAAGAAATCAGCCTTAGAGTACCTTTAATAACACATCAAATCCGCATTAAATATCAAGTGTTTTTTTTTTCAACTAGTGTATACGTACGCACGATAATATGCATAATGTATACCGGCATGTTTTATTTCACGAGTCACGAGAGTATATCCGTCTATCCGTAATATGCAAATTATATATATAGCGCGCATCGCGCATCGCACAGCTGCACGATGATGCACACATTCGCTTCGCAGCTCAACCCTCGGCGGTCGTTCGCTGCTCAGTTCGCTTCGCCCAGGAAATTACTGATGGAAATCTCGTTTATAATCTGCCTAATGAATGAATGCGCGCAGCACATGTATTGCGCGCTTGCGGCGGCGCGACGATGATTTGTTGGCGCCCCGTAAGATTCTACAGCGGGGAGAGGGATTGTAATCTTCGTCTCTTATCCCTCGGAACGCGCTGGCTGCGATACGCGAGGCGGATTCCGGGCCGCGTCCTTATCCTCCGCGCGGTATAGAGCTCGTGTTTATGGTAAACGTACGATACCGGCCGGAGATTCTTCGTGAGGGGTTGACGTTTCACTCCGCTAATGTCTCTCTCTCTCTGTCTCGCGATCTTAACTAGTCGCTCTCGTTTATTATTGTCGTCGTTGTAATTATTATTTTTTGTTCAACGAAAGAGGAAGTAAAAAATGGCAGGAGATCGCCCGCACCCAGAGCGATGATCGAACGCTAGCTAATTACGGACAAAAAAAAATACGAAGTACGTAACACGTTCCACATCCAGGATATGACTTACACAATTATAATGTAACCCAAGTAACACGTTCCACATCCAGGATATGACTTATACAATTATTTTGACATTGGCACTTGCAGATTTCTATATATAGGCACACACCATCTAGTGGCGAAAG